TTTTATATATCAAAACAGTATTTAGGAAAATAGAAAATAATCAACTGAGACGAAAATGTCTGGGAAGTGCCTTGATCGCTCGTTCAGCCAAGGTAAATTTGCATCCAGGCTCTTAAAATATATCACCATTCTTGGTAGATTTTTGTTGTCATGATGTCGGATAGTCAGGGAGAAAGGTGATGGAGAAAAATGTATAGACTGTATTATGTCTTCCTTAAATCTGCAAGTACTTTTGATGGGTTCTCCAGTCATCATCATGCATGGAAATTATTTTCTTTTTGGTAAAATTCAGTTAGCATCTGATACAAAAAAATATAATGCAAATCAAAATATGTTTTTTTGAAGTGTGTTATTGATAACAGATACAAACTTGTGGAGTGTGCAATCACTACGCTAAAGTTGAATCTTTGAAAATTTAAGTGTTTTTTACTAATATGGCAATTTAAGAATTTTTTTGTTGTAGGAGTTTATCCATCAAAGTCACATGAACTAAATAGTTCAAAAAGTAGAGCACTGTCTCAGTTGTTTTCCCAAAAATTTGCACGTCGGATCAGTTCTTTTAAATCAAATATAATTTTTTATAATTTTAAAAACAAGGATCATAACATTCGAGTGGTTAGTGGTTAATGTATTTTTAAAATTTTGTTAGCAAAGAGATTTCGCCATTTTACATCATTAACTTTACTAATCTACTTTTTGTATGAAAGATTCATTGTAATATAAATTGAACTGCACCACATATTTGATATATATATATATATATATATATATATATATATATATATATTTGTTGATGTGTATTTGAGTAGCAACCTTTCTTTCATGCATCTTTCATTGAAAATAGCTGACAAGGAAGATTTAATTAATCTTTTATTGAGTTTTTTTCAGCATCTATCATTTTTAGGTTTTTCAGGTTTTAAAGAATATAGGAATTGTCCATATTTATAATTGTTCCAAGTGTTTTTAGATACTTCTCTAGCCATTATCAAGGATGTGTTTTTGGATGGTGAAATTTTGTGTGTAGCTGCTGCATGGTAATTTTACAGTCATTTTACAGTAATTTTATATATAAACGTATGAATCCATCTCTATGGGCTAATAGCAGGACAGACTGGGTCCTGTAGCCTTGGATGGTAACTAGTTTAGGTGAAAGACAAATCTGAATTCAAAACCTGTGGAGGGTTCATTATTTACATTATTGGAACTGTTGTCCTCATCTTTGTCACCATATTTATTACAACATTTTGGCTGTTGTATGCTCCAGACTTCTTCAGGTTATTGGAATGTCGAATTGAACACTTTATTTCGCTCACAGTGGTAGACTGTTCCAGTTCCACATGCCATGTTTAATGGATGTCAGTTATCAGTTATCTCCTGCAAATTTCCCTCTGAAAGTTCTCCACTGCCTTAACCAGGTATTGAACTCACACTCTTTGGGTCCTGTCACTGGATCTAACTAACCCTTTTATCCACTGTACCATGTGTCCTTGAGGACAAAAATGAGGACAACAGTCTGAATAATATAAATAATGTCCATAATACCTCATCTCAGAAATATAGACAGATACTGTGGAGGTTTGTTTGTGGACCTTGTGACATACTGTACACGAGTCCTCTGTGTTCAGCTCATCCAAAAAGCATGATTAGTTCTGCACAAGCATTGCCCACTATAATCAAAGGATATGTTCGGGTCGTCTGGCTGTTGGTTTTAAGAATTGAGTTGCTTGACCATCATATGTTGAAAACCGAAATATATAGAGAGTGGGATAAGCAGTCAAATGTATGATAAAAGTCAAACAAATTTTGTATACTGCGTTTCGTTTTTTTGGACTACATTGGTGTATGTAAAACAATGTGTTTGTTTCCCTCATTATGTACTGAAGGAATTTCCACTGACTCTTCCTGATGTTAAGTTTTCTGTTTGCTTCCATTTGTCAAAGACATTATTGTTGCTCACATATTTGGTCTATCCTCAGAGTCCTGTAGAATCACATTTCTATTGCTTCAAGTCTCTTCTTCATTTTTGAAGAGATTGGTCAGCATTCACTGCCATATAGGAGGGCAGATAATGATTTAGTACTCTTTTTTGGTATATTTTGAAGTTTTTCTGTTTCTTAATTCATTGCTTATCTTTTGGAATGTGTCTTTGGATTTCAATGTCACACTTTCTGTCTACTGTTAAATCACTTCCCAGATATTTAAATTTCCGTACTTGTTAGATTTTGGCAATTCTTATTAGTAATTTGCATTTTGTGCTCATCCTTTTCCTAACAACCATGT